GAATTTAGACTTGATTTTTAAAGCATAAACATGCCATAAAGCACTTCCATTTCCAAACCTGTTGTCCCAAACATGTTTCTTTTATCTTAAATAGAAAAGCAAAGAATTCAAGCTCTCTGGGAAAAGAAGTGCAAGGAAAAGCCCTTTGCTAAGTTACCTAAGCAATTTCCCTATTTCACCTTAATTCTCCTTTGTTTTCCTGGTAGAGACCTTGTGACTATTTTGACTTAGCAAACAAAATTACTAGTAGTTCTGTTCCCCTAATAGCCACTATTCATGGAGGACCTACTGTGTGCTAGAAATTTTCCTTGTATTATCTCTGAACTTCCAAAACTTCTGAGAGATAGGTTTTACTACTCCCATTTTTATATGTGAGAAAACTGAGGTTTAGAAAAATTAGTTGCCCAAAGTGATGTTATGACCTTGAACCTTGTCATCAAGTGTGTTTGATGGTGCTGTACCATGCCTCTGCTTAAAAATCTGGTTTTAGAACTATTTTGGCTATTTATGTCACAAACTTGGAAATCAGGTTTGAAACCTGGCTCTGCCCCTAATTACCAAGATAATGCTGGGCAAATGATTTGACCTCTGTAAGCCTTGTCTGGTATATCTTGTCTGCTATGACAATTGCTTAGATAACATTGGGAAAAGCCCTCCTTATTGACTTCTTACTAGAATTAAATGAAGTAACAGATATAAAATCATAGCATATTGACTGGCCTACAGTAAACTCTCCAAAATGATAGCTATACACTAATTTTGTATGGGTCAGGTTCGAGACCCAGTCGTGAAATAATTGAACTTTGCTTAAGGGACTCTCCATTTCCTTAAACTGCCCTCCCTAATTGCTGTTGTTCTCATTCTCTAGAAATAAAGATACATCAAGGTGTAAATGGCTGTTAGCACTTGGAAGACAAAAGTCCAATATCTTTAACAGTAAAACAGAAGAAGCAAGCACCATTTGTAGAATTCCATGCTTTTAGAGTTTGAAAGGAAGGTTGGTTTTTTGGTTTATTGTTTGGGGAAAAGTGGGGGTGTTGGGAGGGAAGGAAAAAGGAAGACTCTGAGTCCCCCAGCAACACCATGCACAAGGACCTATGGCAGCTCTATAATCTCAAGCTTCTTTTTCTGGATCTGTTCAGTGTAGGGTCAGTTGCAGACTTCAGGTCTCAGCTGCTTTTGATCAGAACTTTTTTTTTTCCTCCTGTGGTGATTTTGCATGAATTTTAGACCCTGCCGACTTTCAGTTGCCTGGGTCTGTTTTTCATTGCAGATTTTGTCAGGATTTTACATCAAGGTTGCATTTGAAAAGCTTTTCTTTTCTTCTTCTCTGACTATTCCATGTGAACTTCTGATTCTGGATTTTTTTTCCAGTTTAAGTATATTTGTATATTTTCCTGATTATAAAAGTAGTAACTGTTCTTTATAGAGAATTAGAACAAAAGAATAAAGAAAAAATTGTAATCACCCATAAACCCAGCATCCAGAGCACTATTCACATTTTATTGCATTTCTTCCATCTTTTCTCTATGCATATACATGTTTCTATCAATATATAAGTTGTGTGTGTATATATATATATGTATGTATGTGTGTGCGTATATATATGTTTTGCAAAATTGGGATAGGACAATGTACATGTTTTGTAACTTGCTTTTTCACGTAACTTTTATCATGAACATTTTTTGCATGTCATAAAATTTTTTTGGAAAAGATTTATGTCTGCATAGTATTTCATCACATAACTGTACCAAGGTTTATTTAATCATTCCCATTCTGCTGGATGTTTAGATGCTTCCTTGCATAAATTTCCATGTGAGTTTCCTCATTTCCTTTTGCTTTATAAATTATTTCTAGATAGGGAATTATTGGTGCAATTAGGACAAAGAGTATGAACTTTTAATTTTTTACTTTAAAAAGTATTTGTACCTAATTATTTTAATCCTGATAGTCTATGAGTGGCCTTTTTAAAGCCTCTCGATAATAGTGCCAAATTGATTTCCAGAAATGTTCCTCTAGTAGAAGGATTGGCAAACTAAGACCCAAGGACCAAATCTGTCCTGCAGCCTGTTTCTGTACATCCCATGAGCTAAGAATGGTTTTTACACGTCTGAATGCTTAGGAAAAAAAAAAAAAAGAATATTTTATGACACATGAAATTCACATTTTAGTGTTCATAAATAAAATACTTTTAGAGCACAGCCATGCTCATTCATTTACATATTGTCTATGACTGCTTTCACCCTTCAATGGCAGAGCTGAGTAGTTGCAACAGAGACTGCATGACCTGCAAACCCGAAAATATTTACTATCTTCCCTTTACAGAAATAGTTTACTGATCCTTGCTTTAGTAAGTAATTCTACAAGCCGCATGTGAGAGGGTCAATTTGACCATACACACATTAACACTGAATTTTCTTATTCTTTGTTAAGTTGAGCAAGTCAACCAATATTTACTAAGTATTTACCAAGTGCCAGGCCCTCTGGAAAATACAATTTATCTAGTATTTTCTTTGGTTACTAGTTAGGGTGAGTTGTTTTTTCGTAAGTTCAAGTAATTTTTTTCTATTAATTTTCTGTGTGTGAAATGTGAAATTTTAACTCAGGCATTTACATTTTTCACATTGCTTTGTGTGAGCTCTTTATCTGCTAAGAATATTTTCTTTGCAGTCATATTTATTGAAATCATACTTGTTGGAAATATTTTGTTTCCATTAGGTTGTTTGCCTTTTAAGTTTATAACTTTTTTTACAAACAGAATTTTACACTTGTATGTAGTCAAATCTATTTAATTATTTATTTTTTCCTTTGATTTTATTCTAAGATTATCTTTCCCTGTTCCCAAGTTCAGATAAATAATCACCTCTATTTTCTTCTATTTTTTAACTGATTCATTTTTATATTTATCTCTCTAATCCCTCTGGAATTTTTTATTGTATGGTATGATATGAGGATCTTAAATTTTCTTCCAAACAGTAGAGCAATTTTGAGTAAACCTTCCTTTCTCCACTTATCTGTGATGTCACCTTTACTAAATTCTTATATATCCTGGAATGTATTCTTGGGCCACATTCCAGTTATCTTCAATGGTGTGTGTACGTGTTTTTTCATTGCTGGTTCTTTGTGATGTCTACTTTCTTGTTCCTGATTAAGTCTTCACAGGATACAGACCCTGACTGGATTCTTGGGTTTATATTTTCTCTGTCTCTCCCATATGTTACTCCTTTGCGAGTATAAATTTCAGTAGCATCGTTCCTTCTCTTGGTCAATTTGTCAGAATTGCAGTATAAACTTATCTCTGAAAAATACACAAATGGTAAGGAAAATTCCTTCCAAACAAGAGATAAAGGCCGGGGCCAGGCCTTGTACCTATGTGAACCATGAACCACAGCGCTCATTCATAACCATTCCAGGTGACAAAGGCTTTAGCTTTGTAACCTATGAGGTTGGAGGTTTTCTGGCCAAATAGCATCAACTGGCATAAAAAGAGCAAATCTCTGGAAGGGGTTCCCAGAAGAGCTGTTACATGATGCACAGCCCCTAACCTTCTGTTAACGGCTCACCCCAACCCGACCTTGGTTCACAGTGGAGTTATTTCATTTACCAGGTGTGAAAATTGGATTTTACTACAGAGAAGGAGAGTTATTACCTAGCAGGTCTGCTCTTTAGGGGAGCGGAGATTGTGGTGGGATTTATTAAAAGAGATTTGCTATGCATGGAACATATAATTAGAGATGTGTTCCTTTAAAACTGGATTTGCAATCTTTGTCATTTTAGGAGTGCTGTTTTTTTCTCTCTCTTTTTCTATCTGACAGCCTTCTTTCCCATGTAGGTGGCACACATCCTACCTAGGATCTGAATATTTTATATGGCACCATTCTGCCAAGAGACGGACCTCAGGGGTGTGACAAAGAATACAGCTTAGGGGAATGGTGGAAATTGTATATAATTTGGATGCTGATATTAGTCACAGATATGATACCAAGAATGGGGAGGGGGTGACAAAGTAATTTCATGTTAATTAATTGCTATATAGTCCAGGCTTTGGTTTGATGGAGGTATTAGGGTCACTCTGAGACCCTCTAATGAGGGAACTCTTGAAAATCAAGCGTTTAGATGTAATTACCTGTTGTTAGAGGCTATATAGACAGCTTCGAAGTTAGCACCCAGTTAACTACATCTGCTTTTAAAAAAGGCACCTTGTTTACTATCATGGTGAAGGGGATAGCTGAATTTATTATTGTTTAGCATTTCTAGCACACTTTGTTCTTGCTGAGTGCTTGAAACTTATTTATGTATGTATATTGTTGCTCTTCGCAGCACTCCCAAGAGATGAGTGGGTGATAAGTTTTATTATCACCTGCTTTTCTAACAAGAAAAACGAGGAAACAAGAGCTCCTGAGAAGAAAAGGGACTTTCCTGGGCTTATAGCTCAGAGCTCCTGCCACCCTGTTAGGGGATCCTCAACAAAATGGTGATAAATTCAGGCTTTGCAGCTTCCCTCTGCCCGCTCCCAGTCCTGGGGTACCACCTGTGCCCCATCCTGTTTCCCAATAACCAAAGTGGCACGCTCCCTCGAAATACAAATCATCACTATTATTGGCCTCTCTGTGCCGGGCACTTTACATCGAAACACATCACCTTCCTCATAGAGTCACCTTCCTCCCCTGCTTTTCTTTTAAATACCCTGCTGTTTTCCCCACTGCCCAGCCCAAATCCTTGAAGTCATCTGTGACTCAGCCTTTCCACCCACTGAGCCATGCAGATTCTGTCACCCAAATGTCTCTTACATTTGTCCCTTCCCTCCTCTTCCCCCTGCCACTACCAGCATTCGGTCTTTACTCCCCCCTGGATTGTTGTAATAACCCTTAACAGGGTCCCCACACTTTCCATCCTAAACTCTTTTGTCCTATGTCTTCCTTAAGCAAGGTTCTGATAAATAAATACTCTCCCACTGGGTCCGTTCTCAGGAGCCTTCCCGTGTCAGTGCAGATTCTTACCTTGCACTCAAAGCCCACCTTCCTGCTCGGCCACTAAACCACGGTCCTGCGCATCAAGATGACCTGCGGGGCTGCGCTAACAGGCGCCTGCCCTGTGCGGTTCTGATTTGGCGGGTCTGCTGTGGGGCCCGGGCACCTGCGCGGTTAACACGCCTCCAGGTGATCCACGTGCTCGGTCCTCTTGGGACCACACACCGCTCTTAGCGGGGTTCTCACGAGCCCGGAGTTATCAGCCCCAGTGCCTGGCTGTGCTGTTCTTTTAGCCCGAAACGCTCTTTCCCCGCCCCATCTCCACCTGTTGAAATTTTTCTCATGCTTTAAGGGTCAGCTCAAATATCTCCTCCTTCGTGAAGCCTATTCTGATTGTTCCAAAGGGATAGGACGCAAACTCCATAGCATTAAATTTCAGGTCTTTCACCGGACAGCCGCGTTTTACAGTTCGAGTCCCATCTCCTGCCTGGTTCCTCCGCTGTTCCTAAGCTCCCAGCACACTGCCACGCATTCTCAGAACAGGCCCTGTCCACAGACCTCCGCCAGGAATGCGGCGCCCCTCCCCCCTCTCCCGCCCTCCTGCCCCATATCCCCCCCTCCCTCTCTCTCTCCCACCCCTCCTAAACTTACCCTGCTGGACTCAGCTCATGTGTCACTTCCTCCGGTGCCACATTCATCACACCAACAGTCCTTCTTGACTCTCCCCCACCCCCACACCAAGTCACTAAGTCACTCCTGCCTCTGTGCCTCTCCAGACCTCTTTACGCCTAACAGAAGCCAACGACGGTATCTTACTTGTGGTTTACCTGTTTAACTTTAACTCTAGGCAGTGAACTTGGCTAAGGTCGTATTCTGAGGATCTAGCACAGGCCTGGCACAGAGAGTCCATACGTCAGTCCTTCTAGAGTGCATGCATGAATGAATCTCCTTCCTCCCCAGACATCCTTCCCCCAGAACGATCTTTGCTCCCCCCTGTACTTCTCCCATGGCGTTTCTCTTCTTCTGTCTCTTCCGCACTTGTTTTATTCCCCCTACAAGATTGCAAGCACCTTTGAGGGGAGAAACCGTGGAGGGTTTTGCTCCCTATCCCCAAGCCAGGTTACTTACCCGCGGCAGGAAGGCGGTCAATAAACCTTTGTTTAATTGAATTGTAGGATGTTGGGCTCAGCTAGCTGCTAAACAACCCCATTTAAGGGGTTAACTAATAACACTAGGAGAAGTTCTTCTCCTTTGGGGGTATTTGCATTTTAATGGGAATCCTAAAAACCCAAAGGAAATGTTCTCTAATGGTGAGAGTTCAGGCATTGTAGGGAGGCTCTTTTTTTTTTTGGTTTGGTTTGGTTTTTTCTGGTGGTGCTGGTTGGGGACTAGGAAAAGTTGTCGGGGACTAGGAAAAGTTGTCGGGGACTAGGAAAAGTTCCTCCAGCCCAGGGGTCCTTAAGCCCTTTTGTGCCATGGGCTCCCGTGGGCAGTCTGGTGAAGCCTGTGGACAGAATAATGATTTTAAAGACTTAGAATAAAATACATAGGATTACAAAAATAATTATGAAATATAATGGTCTAAATATTAAAAACGTTAAATGTGTGATACAGTAATATATGTGCTTCGTTATTAGAGCATTAATTTAAAAACCTACTGGCAGGCCTAATCACTACTGTAATTTTGTTGTAGTGATGACTATAAACGATATTTGGAATATCTGATTCTATTGGAGAAAAAGTCACAGACTGCTCATACTGCCTTGATCTGTTGCCTATATTCATAATTGAAGGAAATGATAAATTTCAGTTAAAAGTTAGCGAAAGTGAAGATACGTATTTTCCCTCCATCCAAGTTCTAGCCCTAGTCTCCATCATGGACCCGTTTAAGACCCAGGGGCCCTGCCTAAGCTGAACTCCCTGACATATGTGGGTGGTCCTGAAGCCTGTGTTGTTGCAGACCCCAGGCTTCCTTTTCTATGCAGCAGTGCTTCTACCTTGAGCTCCCAGATTCTTATTTTTACCCTTTATTTTACAACCATGGACAGTAGTCCAAATTTGCTGCATTTACACCAGAAATATGAACAAAGGAGATACAAAAAGGATTGTTTAGGTTCTCCCTCCATCAACTAAGGAACCAAGATGTCAGGCCTTGGAGGAAGGAGGGGATCTCTAGTCCCGTAGCTTGGGAGGGTCTCCCCCTGAAATTCTAAGCATGTGGTAGAGAAGGGCCATGGAGTGGGGTAGGGCCATGGAATGGGGCAGGACCGGGAGGAGGATGGTTTGCACTAAATTCAGAGGTAGGAAAGCAGCTGCAGAGTTTACCTGAGAGTCTCTGCTGGCTTTTTCTAAATTCAGAAGTCAATATGGGGCTAGGGAGCTTGATTCCTGGGGGGTCCAGCATAATATCCATCTTGATGGTTAGTGACTAAGTGAAATATCATTGCTCTTGAAACACCACACTCCCAAATGCTGATGTTATTTCTAATCTGGGTAAAAGTGTTTGTGCGGTTCTCTTGTTAGCACCGAAATACAGAAAACACATTCAGTCCATTTTCAGTTATCCTAGTATATTTTAGTCACTTAGGGGCAATTTTCCCCCAGACAGATTTACTCTACTGTTCGCCATGCCTTGGGACACACACCTCTGCTCTCAGTCGGTGCATGCTGAGAAGTTACAAGTGAACTTAACATTAGCAGGGCATTTTGCTTACCACGGTGAGCATCACTATTGCCTCAGGCAAACCACCATCCCCGCCCTTACTGGTATGACACTGAAGGTTTTGCCCTTAACATTTTCTTTTTCTCTTGTGTACCTTTTCCTTTGATAAGCTCATTCATTTTTATAGTTTCAGCTCTCACCTCTGCACCTCCAGCCTGCCCTCTCACCTGGCAGGATATCTCCACTTTCATATCCAGTGGTCACCCATAATTCTAAAACTTAACTCTCTGTCTTCCTTCACAAATCATTTTCACTTTTCTAAAAAACAGCTCTATTGACGTATAATTTACATACCGTAAAATTCACCTATTTTAAGTGTATGATTCAGTTATTTTATGTAAATTTACAGAGTTTTGCAACCATCGCCCAAATCCAGTTTTAGAACATTTTCTTTTCCCCAGAAAGCTCTTTATACCCATTTGCAGTCAGTCCCCACTCCCACCCCCACTAATCTGGTTTCTGTCTCTATGGATTACCTTTTCTGAACATTTCATATAAATGAAATTATACAATATGTAGTCTTTTGCATCTGGCTTCTTTCACTTAGCATAGTGATTCTGAGGTGTATTCATGTCGTTGTGTATCAGTGGTCCATTCCTTATTGCTGAATCATATTCCTTCATATGGATTTACCACATGTTATTTATCCATTCATCAGTTGATGGACACAGATTATTTCCACTTTTTAGCTATTAGGAATAATGTTACTATGAACATTCGCACACAAGTCTTTGTGTAGACATGTTTTCATTTCTCTTAGGTAGACAACCAGAAGTGAAGTTGCTAGGTCATATGATAAACATGTTTAACTTTTTAAGAAATTGCTAAACGGTTTTTAAGGTGGCTGCACTATTTTACCTTCCTTTTTTTTTTTTTTTTTTTTTTTTTTTTTTTTTTTTTTGTTTTTTTTTTTTTTTGTCCTTTTTTTGAGACCGGCCGCACCGCGCTCAGCCAGTGAGCGCCGGCCATCCCTATATAGGATCCGAACCCGCGGCGGGAGCGCTACCGCGCTCCCAGCGCCGCACTCTCCCGAGTGCGCCACGGGGCTCGACCCTTACCTTCCTACCAGCAATTCTCCCCATTCTCACCAGCACTCGGTATTGTGTCTTTTTTGTTATAGCCATCCCTAGTTGGTGTGTAGTGGTATCTCGCTGTGGAACAGTGTCATTTTTGAACCCCTCCCATTTCTGACCACGATGCCCCACTTTCTACCAACTTTATGGCTAGAAACCAAACTTACACTATTTTTCTTTCCTCGTATATTTGTGTGCTGCAAAAGTGAGCTCCTACAACCTTCCTCAGCTCATGCCTGGCTTTGTCACTTCTTCAATCCCCTTTATAGTACTCCACCTGGACCTGTGTCCTTTCACACCTAAATGTCTGCAGTCTTCTAGCAGCTCTCCTTGCCTGTTGTGATTCTTTCTTCAAATCTTCCTCCCTGTAGCTGCAGAGTAATTGTTAGAATAATAACATGAAAACGGCATGCATGGATGTGGAATCAGGGGATCTGTGCCTTGAGCTAGTCCTGTAACTTATCTGAGCCCAGCTACTTTATTAAGTTACTTAACCTCTCTGAGCCCCAGTTTCCTCACATGCAAAGTAAAGATAATAATAGAAACTTTCTTATAGAGTTGTTATATGTCCACAATAAATGCATAAAAAGCCCTTAGTACAGTGCCATGTGTATGGAGAGCACTCAATTGGTCCTGGCTAGTATTGTTATTTTAATGATTATTATAACTATTCTTATTATTCATTATGATAGAGCTCTCTGCCAAGTCTGCCACATGGTTATCATAAGTATCAGACATGGCTGTGAAGATGAAAATGCTTTGTAGAATACCATGCAAATTGCAAAGGTGTTGTTTTTACACAGTTTTCCTTTGCTAAAGGAGAGAGGCAGTGCAGGATGGCAGCAGGAACACAGGCTTTGCCACTAGCCTAGCATTCAAATCTGGACTGTGCTATTTAACATCTGTGAGGCTTGGACAATCACTTACCCTCACCAGTTTTGTTTTCTCATCTGTAAAATGGGTACAATTATAAGCCACATTCAGGATGATGCTGTAAGGAAGGTGCCTGCTCCATAGGTGGTGTTCAGTAAACTGCAGCTTTAAAAAAAAAAAAAAGAATTCACAGTATGTCCTTCTTACATACTTTCTCTAACTTTTATTCTTTGTAATTATTTCCCACCTTATTTATTTAACTATATTCCCTACTGATTTCAACACACGCATCGAAGAGAGACTATACTGTGGAAAGGTTAAGCATTTTCACCCCAGACTGTGGTTTTGATCTCAGCTCCATTACTCTGTAGCTGCATGACTTAGGACAGTTACTTACCATTCTAAGTATCTGGCTTCTCAGCTGTAAACAGGAATAACAGTTTGTACGTCAAGGAGTTATTGTGCATGTTAAATAAGATAATACAGAGCC